TCTCTCTGCCTCTCTCCCTCTGTGTGTGTGTCTATATATATATATATATATATATATATATATATATATATATATATATATATATATATATATATATATATATATATATATATAATTTGTGTGTGCGTGTGTGCGCGCGTGCGTGTGTGTGTGTGTGTGTGTGGCGTTAATATTGTATATATATGAGTTTCTTATTGTTATGTTGTTGTAGATTTTGTTATTGATATTTTTTTCTTCATCTTCCTATTATTTCTTATCATTATCATTATTGTTAATATTGTTGTTAAAAATTATTTTTATTTTTTGTTGTTATTCCAGCTAATGTTATTACAATTATGATTTTCATAAGAGTTATCATCATTATCATTTCCACCACCATCATTATCACCATCATCACCATCACCATCATCACCACCATCATCACCACCATCATCACCACCATCATTGATTCCTCTTCCTCCCCCATGCCAATTCCCCGCGAACGAGAAATACAAGAGAAGAGAAAGACACTTCCCCTTTTTTTTATTATTCCATTTTTCCTTTTGTTTATCTCCTCTCTTCTTTTTTTTTCTCTCTCTCTCTTTCTTTCTTTCTTTCTCTTTTTTTTTGTCAGTAGAGGGATTGGGCCGGAGTCGAATATGAAATGCCACTCATGTCAAAGCGTTTGATGTTGTTAAAGGTTTTTTGGGCGAAACGAAATGCTTTGGTGTTTAGGGCAGGAATGAATATTGTTTTGCAGTTGCTGTTGTTGCTTTTAATAGTGATATTGTTGTGGGTGTTTACTGTTTTTTCGTGATACTTGTTACTGTTATTATTTTTGTTATTGCTGTTCTTATTTTTTATTGTTATTTTTATTATCATGATTATTATTATTATTATTATTATTATTATTATTATTATTATTATTATTGTTATTATTATTATTATTATTATTATTATTATTATTGTTGTTGTTGTTATTAATCATCGTAAATGTCATTATTGTTAATGTTATTACTGTTATCATTGTTATTATTAGTAGTAGCAGTAGTATTGTTGTCAATTGATGCAGTTGATGTTACTGTTACTGTTACTATTGCTATTATTATTATCATT